ATATAACATGAGCATTATGCTTAAAGTGAATGTAAATTAACTTTTCTGTTACTAATGTTTGATTTTAGGGAGAAGATGTTGATCTTCATTTGTATCTACCGGATTGTCATCCTAGTAAATATTCCCTGTTTATGTTGGTGAAAGATTGTCAGCCTAATAAAATAAGTCCTGAATCTTGTGTTTCTACCGAATGTCAAAGTGGTCCGAAAACAGGCAAACCCAAATGGAGGAACATTACTCAAGAAGAGTGAGTTTTATTGTGATGTATATTTATGTCTTTATATTCGCTCTTCATATTTACTTATTTCGTTTGTGATCAAAGCAACCTCATATGTTCATGTTTAATGAAACTATTGTACTTCAAATAAGTGTGATGTTTCTTTTTTGAAAGGGCTGGATGGGTTGAATGCTGGACAGTCCCGAGTGTTGTGTTTACCATTGACTACTCATGGCACCCAATTTATCCTCAAAAGGCAGATGAGCAGTTAAAACAATCCTGTAAGTGTCACTACCTTTTTTCTTGTTAGCATGTTTAATTTCAGGAACTGCTGTGACTTTGGATCAAACTGCCTAAATTTGCAGAAATGAATTTTGAACCGAACTACTATAGCATTCTCCATGTGACGTATAAGTCTTTAGAATGCACCAGCTTCAATATAAAACTGACAACATCTTGCAATGCAAAATTTCAGAACATGTCCCAGTTCCCTGTGTAAAAAGAGTATATTGTCTGTAATTCACTTCTTGTCCTTAACGAAGTGGATCTCTTAAATGGGTTGTTGCATAACAAAATATCACTTGCTATATTAAATATGAAGTACAATATTTTTGGCAGTATCATGTTCCTTAGCCTTTCTAAGCTGTTTTCCTTAAGATGTTGTGGTGTTGTCTAATGATTTAAATATTTAAACACACTATATATGAGTGTTGTGGTTTAACCCCAGCAGATAACTGAGCACCACACAGCTACTCACTCATCTCCCCTGCTGCAGTGGGATGGGAAGGAGAATGGAAAAAAAACCCCAAACTCGTGGGTTGAGATAAAGACAGTTTAATAGGATAACAAAGGAAGAGAATAATAATAATAATAGTAACAACAAGTGATGCACAAATGCAATTGCTTACCACATGCAAAAGGTAAATAAAACAATTTGATGCCCAGTCTGTTTCCAAGCAGTGATCCTGCCTCCTGGCTAGCTTCCCCAGTTCTATATGGAGCATGACATTACATGGTATGGAATATCCCTGTGGCCGGTCTGGGTCAGCTGTCCTGGCTGTGCTCTCCCAGCTTCTTGTGCACCTGCCAGGGTGTGAGAAGCTGAAGAGTCCTGGACTTAGTGTAAGCACTACAACTGTCTGATAACAACTAAAAAGATCACTGTTACCAATGTTATTCTCATCCTAAATCCAAACCACAGCACTATACCAGCTACTACAAAGAAAATTAACTCTATCCCAACTGAAACTGGGACAATGAGATATAGTAACATTGTCTTACCTTTACGGATATGAAACTCTGGGATTTTGTTGTAGCTAGCAGTGTTGAAGTGAATCATGGCCATCAGGTAAATTCTAAATAGGAATTTTTAAATTTAAAATGTCTAAACAATATTTCTAAATAAGAAACATTCTATGAGTATGTGCTTGGAAAAAAAATATTTTATAACTTACTTTCATCTCTGTGTTTAAGTATTTTAAATGCAGAGGGAGGTATGCAGGAAGTTATAGGATTACATAAGTCTTTCAGGTTGAGATGCTAGAAGCAGAACTGATGAAGGGGAGGTATTGGAAGGCTTAGTTTGAATGGGCGTCAATCAGCAGGGGTTAGAAGACATGCTGGATAGTGTTTTTAGGTTTTGAGTTCCAACAACTCAAATCCAAAAGAACTCAAATTTTAGAGGAGAAAGCAGAAAAAATGAGATTAATCTTGCAGATGTTCGTTAAGTGCTCTTGTGAGACTGTCAGCTTGTGTCAAATGTGCATACTTCAAATTTGAAAACATTTACAGGTAATTGTAGCAATTGAACGTGCATTTGAAAGTTTGTACGTACCCAGGTAATCTCATCTGCAGCTTCCTTTGAACAATGCAGCACAGTCCAGCTCACTTCTAATCTGTGATGCTGATAGAATGTGTTTGTTACAGTAGCAACATCTGTATTTTATTTTGAGTCAATTGATAGAACTCTTTAAGTCTCTGAGAAACAAATACATTGCATTACAAGAAATGCAGCTTCCAAAAAAGCAGTCGTCTCACTGTGTCATTTAGCTAATTTATAACACGTAATCTAATGCAAGCACTGCGCAAGCGTTGTAGACAATAATGGTAAGTTAGAGCCTTGAAAGTTTTCTGGCTACAGGAGTGTATTCGCTGTAGTTCTGTACCTACTGGTTCTTCCAGCTCAACTGGTACCTGAAATCTTACTCCATCTGGAATATCAATTTTGGATGATTTTCGCAGAGAGTTCTTCCCAGCAATTGCTTTACATCCCCAAAGCAGTTCCAGTTACTCAATTCCTTCTCATTACCTTTCCCCACTTAAAAAAGACAAAGTGCTTTCTTGTCCCTAGCTCCAAGTAAAAAGAAGGGATCGGAAACTAGATTTGAGTTTCCAAACGGTTTTGTGACTAGAGCAATTGAGTTGAGAGGAAATTTTGACTTACAGAACTACTGGTTCAGAATAGGTTTTTAATAAAACTTTTGTAATTTTCCTGTTTATTCACTTTTGTTTATTCTGCAATAGCTGTGTGTGGTTGTGGGAAATCTACACTGAAATGAAAGCATGTCTCTGTTTAACTTTGAAAAACAAGATAAATAAATTGATGGGGTTTTTTCAGTACTTGAAGGATTGTTTTTCCCTTGCATAATTAACATTGACTAAAATATTCTAATATTCTATTGACTAAAGTACTTTCCTATCTTCCCATAGTCAGTAGATATGAGAAACCAGTTCTGTGGCATAGACATATTAACATAATTATACAATCCAAATTAGCTGCAAAAAGTTTTATATTTAATACACATTCATATTTGCAGAATTTTGTGTATCAGAAGCCTAACTTGTAATCAAAATCTGTTATCTTCTTTATTTTCTTCCAAAGTGTCGGAAATGGAAGAAACGATGTTATCTGTTCTAAGGCCATCACAGAAAACAGCCGACAGTGTGATTTCATCTCCCACAGCTTCAACCCGCCTTCCCCTTGACCCCTCAGAGCTGCCCCCGGATAAGCTCCATGTGGAACTGGAACTCTCCCCAGATTCCCAGATAACCCTGTATGGACCCCTGCTCAAAGCCTTTCTGTCCATAAAGGTAGGCATGGGAGCACAACTCGTAAAATTTATGAATGGGCCGCATGTAGGAAAGGGAAATAATTGATTAAACTTTTTGTAAGTACTAGCTTGGAATGACTTTGGTGATGTGGCGTAGCTGGGATTAATTCAGTTGGCACAGGTTTATGCGAAGACTTTCAATATATACATGTAGACCCATATCAGCGTAATTTTCCTTTCAAGGAAGAGTACATGTTCTGAACTTCATGTGCAGAAAATTTCTTCTTTGACTTTTGCAGTAGCGTAAAAAAATAAAAATCTATGATTATGACTAGAGCTTATATTAACAATATCTTTTATGCAAAGTTATATCAGAACCCATGTTTTAGTGCATTTTAAGTTCTGCAGAGTGTCCTAATTGTTCGTTTGGTTTTGTTTTAATGAGATTCTGTGAAATTTCTGGAGTTAGGATCATGGAGGGGAAGGGGGAAGGACATGAGAATAAATTTAATGTAAAAAACTATTTCAGTCAATATTGAAGAAGACTTTTCATCCTTTTCTTGATGTTAATCTATTATGCTTTAAAATGTTTGTGTTGCTTAGTGTTGTGTCCCCTTCCATTACTGATCTTCAGAGTGGCTAGAAACCATTTAATTTCTTCCCACCTCCCTGACCCTGCCTTGTTGTGACAAAAGCAGAGGAGATTGAACAAGTTGCTTCTATTTGACTAACAGTGAAATGCTTGGGTTTTGGCTGGTTTTTGTGTTGATTGTTCTTGTCTGTGTGGGTTTTTGGTGGGGTGGGGGAGAGTTTGGTTGTTTGTTTTAAAGGTCTTTTTTAGCCTATGCAGAGCTAGGCTAAGCCAATACTTCTGGAGGCTTTCATTTTGGGTCGGGGATGAGGAATTTTCTGACAGGTGATCAGTATCAGGACTCATACTGAAACAGTCATTTTTATGAATTTATATAAGATATTGCACATAAACAATGAATAGCAGAAAATACGAAGTTTTTGTAGAGTATAGCAAATATGCTCATTATTTTTTCATGTTGCTACTAAAGTACATGGGATTAAAATTAGGCCTGTATTGCATCTTGAAGATTTCATTTCTCTGATACAGAGGAAATGCACCCACGTTTGAATTGTTTATTGAGTTCCTCTTTTAGAGCCTATAAATTCATGAGAAGGTTCTATCTTACCAGGCAAAGCAGCACATCTTCAGTGCTCTTTGCCCCTGGCAGTATATGTAAACAGTGCTACATTAGATCCCTTGGTTCTACGATGATTTAATTTTTTTAGGTGCAGATTTCTCAGATTAAATCTAGCTTTTATCTTCTAAATCTCAAGAGAAAATGTAGGTGAATAGCTTGTTTTTGAAAATGTGCATTTATTGTTCTTTTTAGGTTTTTTGTGACTGTGTTTACATCTTTTTGTCCAGCTGTGCTGGCAGCATCTTTTAATAGATTTCTAGGGGAGGGTTTTATGCTTGTTTTCCTGACTTGTGGTTGCATTGTTATTTTCAGTATGTTTTCATTTATCTTTTTCAATTCATGCGGGAGAGATTCCTGGACATGCATGGTTCATGCAGTTTTGTTAAGCTTTCTATTCTTGGGAGGTAGTTTTTTGGTGTAGCATGCTCTGTTTTTTACTGAAGGCCTTACTGGCTGGGAATGAATGATTTATAGGTCCTTGCATCCCCAGCAGGAGGTACCAGGAGTAAGTTACTGGAGTTCTTAGCACCATCTGCTGGGTCTGCCTAAAAAATATTTCAAGGTCTGTATCGTAACATTGACCTTTATCTTTTCCCTTTGCTAAAACACAAAGCAGATTAACTTTGCTTAACTTTTGAGGTTTTTATGGTTTGGCTACAGAGCAGTGCTTAATTCATATGTGTTAACATCAACAATACTTCAGAGACTCAGTACAAGATGGTGAAATTACGTGTCCACAGGAGTCATTATTTCAAGACTGATAATGAGCCTGCCTTTTCTGCAGACCTTTTTCAAGGACATGGGTACCTTGCAGTTGCTTGCTTTCTTTTTGTTGTACACTTTCTCTTTGCTTGCGCTGCAGATTTGTGCTTACAAAAGAACAAAGAAGTTTTGGAAAGCAAATGAGGCACAGAAAAGGGGAGGGTGGGGAGCAAAAAACTTCATAAGATTCAAATCTGTCTCAGTTTAATCTTCAGTTTAGTACTCATTTGTTTCTATCTCTCAAATCATCAGTGGAGTTTGGAACAGTTGGAACATTTCTGTCAGCATGAGAGGCCGAGGGACTGAATTACTTTCTAAGAATGAATACAGGAGTGACATTTGTGTCTGTGTCGCAGCCTCTGGTGAGAAAGGATTTTGCTCCACAGAATGCTTAGTCCCCATCATTTCCTGTATACTGAATTAATGGGAAAATATAACCTGCATGATTCAGAAAATTCTTCTTGAGCCTTTTTTTTTTTGAGGAGGAAGAGGTGACAAATTATCAGAAGTCTGATTCTGATGCACTTAAATAAAGCACAGGAAATTGATTTTTTTTTTTTAAATTAGTGATGGATTTTCTGTTTCCAAGTAGAATTTGGCAGAGTTATTTTGGTCTTAGATAACTGAGGGGGATTGGCTTAGAAACAAGCTGGGTTTTAGACCCAAGGGGAGAAATATTTCTGAACTACTATTTTAGAATGATTTTTAAGACTTTGAAATATGCTGATAACAAGTTTCAGAAGGTTGGATGAGAGTGACTTCCTGCAGGATATTGTGTGTTCGTACTCTCAAAGTTATTTATCTTTAAAAGCACAAGATCTGTTTCTAATGTTGGTAGTAGTATTTCAGAATAGTTATTTGTATTGCATACATCTGGAATGCCAGTACTTGGAGAACTACTGAGAGCCCCTTCTTTTCCTGCAAAGCACAAGGCCTAAATTGGCTCACTTGAGGTGTCCATTTTTCATAAAGTAAAAGTATACATGTGTCTTCAGCTATAGTTTTTAGCTACACCGCTGATTTTTGCGAGGGCTAACATACAGGAAAAGATTGGATTTGTGTTTTATGACATTGCCTATATGTTTTTAATTTGTTTTCCATATGTTCATAACAAATCCTTTTTCTAGGAAAATTATTTTGGAGAAGATGACATGTACACTGATTTTGAAGAAGTTATTTCAAGCCCTGTTTTGTCACTGTCAACATCTTCAAGCTCTGGATGGACAGCTGTTGGAGTGGAAAGTGACAAAAAAGAAAATGAAAGTTCAGTCAAGCCAGTTCACCCTCTTACTTTACGCCCATGGGATATCACTGTGCTTGTTAATTTGTATAAAGTGCATGGGCGATTACCAGTGGTAAGTACTTTAGAACCATAAAATACTTTGCTTCATGTAATTATTTTTTTTTCTAGTTTAATAATCTGGCATTAAATTTAACTCCCTGGAACATTAAGCTAGGGTGGTGTTTACCAAAGTGTGTGTATACTCTCTACTAAAATTGTGGCTAGCTAAACCAATTTGAGACATGATTTATTTTGTTTATCTGGGAGGCAGAACTGCATAATTTTGGATATTATTTTTATTCAATGAACTTGGTTTGTGTGATAATATTTTTGATTGACCATTATGATTTCTCTAAAGTTTAGCAAAACTGTCTTCTAATGGTCCATTCTGCTCAGTGCAGCTGTGTTCTGAGGGATCCCCAGAAATTCAAATAAGAAGCTGGATAAAAAAATTGGGTTCACCCAAGTGGATTTGAATTGCTGTTTATGTAACTGTCGAAAGGTTTTTAAAGTTGCACAGGCTTCTCTTTGAGTATCCACTTGGAGGAAAGTTAGTAATTCCTGCTCACAGGTTTGCTTCTAATCTTACAATGTCAACCATGTTGTGTATTTTCAGTTTCTGAAGCAGATGTGTTTAATTTTTATTTTAGCATTGCAGTCCAGATGGTCCTGAGTGCCCTACAGCTTTCTTGGAGAGGTTGTGTTTTGAGATGAAGAAGGGATTTAGAGAAACAATGCTTCAACTTGTACTGTCTCCAGTGAATTTGTTTCTGAATGACAACTATCAGGTAGTAAGCTGTTTTTTACGTGTTTCCATGTGTGTGTCTGTATCATGGAAGTTGTGATGATCTTAACATTGAATTCTCTTTTGTTAGGAACTTCCTGTTGTACACATACAAAGTTTATTAAGGCTTATGAATCATAAGCAGTATTAAAGAAAAATCTGATGCATATTAATACCCAGCTTATTTCCATGCAGTCACAAGCTGCTAATGTCTGCCTGTGCGGGTTTTGTCTTTTCAGTTTCTTCTCTGGCTGGTGGAGTAACATTCCTTTGAAAAGTATTACATCTGAATTTTCATATCTGCAAACAAGTAGCTGTAGGTAGCCAAGAAATACTTTGGTGAAAAGTACAAATTAGAGGACAGCCTCTGATGTTTGTTGTTTGGATTTTTTTAATTTTTTTTTATCATGTCAGCTTTCTGACAGTAGCATACCTTCATAAGTCATATTTTTTTAACCTCTTGATCATGTCCATTGTCAAATATGCTCTTCCATTCTTTGTTTATATTTTATTGCAGTAATATTTAACAGATGGTGTCTAGATGTCACTGTGTGGAGTTGATCAAGGGAAAGTTGTTGATGATGGTTGCTAAAAACGAAAACAAACTTTGGTCAGATAAACTTCCCTCTCCCCCTGTAACATTTGCGTATTTGTTGTTGTGTGGGTAATGCTGAGAAGTCTTGGGGCTGTCTAGCTGTACAAAAGTCGACAGGATTTAAGTGGTGAAGATGAATGTGTATGATGTATCTCTGGCTACACAGTTTTTGCACTTTTATTGATGTATTCTTTGCAAGTAATAGCTTTAACTTACTTGTCCTTAACAGCGACCTGCAGTGGATGAAGTTCTTCGAGAGGGTCATATCAGCCTGTCAGGTCTGCAGTTGCGCGCTCATGCAATGTTTTCAGCAGAAGGTCTGCCTCTTGGAAGTGATACTTTAGAATATGCGTGGCTGATAGACGTACAGGCTGGAAGTCTTACAGCCAAAGTTACAGCACCACAGGTACCATCTAGAGACTATTTGCTCTTAAGTATTACCTTTCTTCTTTCTTGTCAAACTGGCATAGCACGGATTTTGAAGGCACGTGATCCCAGCTGAATGTGGATGCAACTGTGCCTTAAGTAACGTTATTTTTATAGTTTGAAAATCTAACCATTTCTATAAATGTATAGGAGATGCCAATACTGAATCTGATATTCATCTTAAAAGAGTGGCTAGTGTTACATGAGAATTTGAAGAGATGATGAATACAGACCATGAACAAAGTAGCAGTGAATGCTGTTGCACTGCTTGTAAACACTTGTATGTTACATCTATAGATGTTAATGTATTTAATACTGATTAGAAAGGCAACCACAGTATCTACAGGCACTTCAACAGGTTTAATTGCAGAGTAAACAATACTTCTCTGTAAATAAAGGAGGTGTTTTGGGATGCCTTCAGCCGTAAACTAGGTAATGTGATGAAGAGGAGAAAGGAAAATATATTTAAAAGGTTTAAGTATGACATGACTTAAGTTGTCTGTGACTTCCTCTGAGGTTAATTTTGTGATGCTTCTGGAGATGCAGGTTCATTAGCTCTGCTGGTTAACTCTCTGGGAAGGACAAATGACGTGTCCAGTTGTGATTGGAGGCTGAAAGGCAACGTAATATTCCTCAGATGTAACCCATTTTCCCAAAATGCTACCACTGATTTATATAAACTATAGCATTTACTCCACTGCTCTATGCTTCAAAATTATACTTACTTGATTCCAAGTACTCTAAGGTTAGAAAACATTTCTAAGTGCTTGATGCAACTTAAGGATTTTTTTCCCCCTATAAAGTCTTTCTGAATTGTAACTTACTTGATTCTAAGTACTCTAAGGTTAGAAAACATTTCTAAATGCTTGATGCAACTTAAGGATTTTTTCCCCCTATAAAGTCTTTCTGAATTGTATCCTTCATGCAGGACTTTTATTTAATTTTTGTTGTTGTCAGCACTGCTATGGAGCAGAACCTGAATTTTCTGTTTCAGGGTCATTGGCTTTTTTCCTCCCATAGTGTGATGTATTGCAAGAATTTGTGAAGGGGTAACACTAAAGGGAGGAGGAGAGATTTTTTCAGGAGTGTCATAACTATATTAAATTGCAGTTAAATTACTGCTGATTTTAAGTGCCCTTTCCTTTGGCTAGCCAAAGAAAGGCCATTTCTCTCTCGTAATACAGACAGACAGTCATGAATCATTTCCTTTATGAATGAACTAACTATATAAAAGATTTAAATCAACAATAGGCAAATTACTAGGTCCTGTGAGATTCAGCAGTGTTCTGTTTAGCCAGTTTCCTCCTGTGCTTTCTAAATGTAACTTTGTTACTTATATGCAAGGAAGTCTGACATTTAAATTATGAATGTAATAGCTTATTTCAAGGCATTTTTTTTTTTTAGAGGTAACATAAGGGGAGCTTTGTCTTTACAATGAAGTTCTTAGTTGACCATAATAGCAAAAGCTATTTTCTTCTATTAAGAAATAACTCAGAAAATTATTTAACGTCACCACATTATCCATGAAAAACTAGAGACTTGCATGTTGTGGCACACAAATCAGTCTTGAGTAACAGGAAATAGACTATGTGTAAGCAAGGTAATGTGGCCAGAATGTTATGGTGGAGTCTCTTGTTTTTACTCCTGCTTACCTCCCAACCTCCAGTGATGTTCTTTCAGTACTCTGTCGAATACTGAAAGTTCATTTTGCATACTTACTATTAGACAATGTGTTGTTGTTCGCTTATAGCTTGCGTGTCTTCTGGAATGGGGGCAGACCTTTGTATTTCATGTGGTGTGCCGGGAGTTTGAACTGGAAAGGCCAAAATCTGTAATAATATGCCAGCATGGAATTGATCGCCGGTTTTGTGACTCAAAGGTAACCTCTCATCCGTCTTAATTGCTTGCTATATTTGCACAGGTTCTTTGGAACAGTTTAGAAATTCAGCCTTAAAGTTACCAAGATACGTGGACTAAATACTCAGATTGGATGTTCCCTTTCATTAAATTATAGCTAATTATGTTTTAGAAAGAAAAGCAATTATCTCTGGATTTTCCTGTGGTTTTGTGCTCTGTGTGAATTATTTTGAGAAACAGTACCCACAGGAGTCATGCCTAGTTTCTTACCTCTACGGTGACAGTTAAGAGACAAAGGTCATACTCCCCCTTGTGCTCCTGGCACATTTCCATGGTACTTTTTCATCCTGTGTCCTCTGTTGATGAAACAGTGCTTTGGTGGGAGACTTAAGCTGACAGTTTATAGTTTTGAGGGCTTTTTGTTTTGTGTTTCCCACCCTGGGACTCTTACTTACATGTCATTGTGGATTCTGCTTTTGATGCTTGTCTCTTGGAATCCATGCGTGTGGTCACTTGAAGACCAAAGGAGGCTTGTCGTATATTAAGTATGACTCCTGGATTTCATCTCTTGACATCCTCCTTGTTTTGATCCAGTTTTTATGATGTTCTCTATTAGCAGACTTGGTATGTCTTTTGGTGGTGGAAGCCAGGAGAGCCAACTGGGTCCCCTGATGTTGCTGGACAGGAGAATTAACCATGCACTAGTGAAAATGAACCTCAGCACAGAAACACCCCGTCTCATGCTCATGTTGATAGTGTAGAATAAATAACTTTTTATTGCTCTAGTTTTAGGCCTCTGTTAAACAGAACATTAAACTACTTGACAAATTAAACTAAAACTCCTAATGTGTATTTAAATCACTTTTTTTTTCCTTCAGATGAACTGTGTCCCTGGGCCATGCCCAACATCTGATGACTTAAAGTACACTATGACACGCTTAGCCATGGATGGAGCAGATCTGTATGTGGTAGAACATGGCTGTGCCACCAATATAAAGGTAGAAATATTTCTCTTAATGGCAATTAAAGTAGTTCTTTGACAATAGAGTTCTTTGTATTTTTTTTGATAGCATAACTACCTGAATTTATTGCTTGCTTATATATAATGGACTAAGCAGAATTTCTGAAACTTTAGGTGATACAAGGTTGTCTTGGACTGGGCCAGGAGTAGGTCAATTTGGCTTCTGCTTAGTAATTCCATTAATGATCTTGGAAAATGGTACGGAGGAGTGGATGTCTGCCAAAATAAGAGTGGAAGCTGCAGGACCAGTGTAAAAAACTTAAGAAAACACTGGGCAATATAAATCTCTGTGTCTGTACCTGAGAGCTAATAAGAACTTGTGCTGTAAGTTGGTAACTCAGCAACTGGAAATTATTCATATGGATTGCCTACAAGTCAATACTGGATAACTCATGATCTTATGTCTTCTGTGATAGAGCTGTTTGAATTAAGATATCTCTTTGGTAGAGATGGGAAAGTATTAGTGCCACTGCCTGACTGAATCTAGAATACTGCATAGAGTATCCTCAGTTCAAAAAAGGATTTGCAGGCAAGAGCTGATATTCTCTCCATTATCCTGTCATACAAGAGAAAACTGGAATTAATTTACTCAATGTAGCAAAATAGAAATTAAGAGACAATTGAGTTATGGTATAAACAGAAAAAGAGAAAAGTGCTATGCTGGTATGAGTGACTAGTAGTTGTGCTGTCCATTAATAAATTTGGTTCTAAACGGTAGACTTAACATGTAAGGCTTTGCAGGCAGCTTCACATTATGAGCAAGAATCTAACTGAAGGAAAGTGGTAATTATTGTAGACATTTTTTAATTACAAGATATCTTGTCATTTGAATGGCTTGCTACCTTGTGGCAGTAAAAAAATGTGTTTAAGTCTCCAATTCTTTTGACTCCTATATTAAAATCACCATCACAAATATTAACTGTGTTTGCAGGCATACATATGCGTGGAACTATTTTCAAAGACAGCTTAATAACCTGGCCCACTCTAGAAAATCATATCCTGAATGTGTTTCATCTGAATTGTAAAAAAAAAAAAAAGGTTTCCAGTGCTCCTTTATAGTCCATGACAGAGATGTGAAGTAATAATTTAATATTAACCCTGTGGGTAGCTTTTCCATGGCCAGGTTCTTTTTCAGCTTTCCTTCTTTTCCCTGTGAAAAGTTTGAAAACTTGATCTGAAATTTCAGGTGCTTGATGGTGATTTATTGGAGAGGTCTCAAGCTGTGCAGGGAACTTGGTCCAATGTCTTCAGATTATTTGAACTTTGAAGACTAAGCATGTGTGGCAGGGCTATGTCATCTTTTATTAGTGTTACAGTGTTGGGGAGGATGGATACTGTATGGATACAGGTGGGTTAGTTGTACAGTGACCAGTTTCCATGGCTAAGTGTGGGGGTAAAGCAAGAACTTCTGGTTTCTCTTTGGAGAGGGTGGGCTCCTGCTGGTCCCGTGCTTTTCACAGGAGAACGGCAGCCTCCTGGTTGGTTCAGCAAAACTATTGGAGTTTTGTCAATACAAGAAATAAAGTGTGATCGTATAAGGGCTACTATAACACAATTCATATGGATCTCTCCCATTACAACATCTGTCCAAAGCTGAGCTTTCTTTTTCGGTCCCTTTACGAAAGGAGACTCTGAAGTAGAGGTTTTATTTCTGTTATTTAAAAACTGGCTGAAACTAATTTGTAAGCTTGCCTTCTTTTGCATGTGTGCGTGCACATGCTTGCATATAAAACTTCTCTGACTTTTTTTGGAGAGAATAGTTTCCTGAGATCTTTCTGGGATGTAGTAGGTGGTGTATTAACTGGTTTAAGGCTACTCTTTTTTTGTTTCACTCGTGACTAATCAGAGTTCATGTTTTAAATGATGTTTTCAGATGGGCGCTATACGTATTGCGAACTGCAACCTCCACAACCAGTCTGTTGGAGAAGGTATAAGTGCTGCTATTCAAGACTTTCAACTGAGACAATATGTTGAACAGGTGAACAATTGCAGAACTGGTCTTCAGCCAATATTAAGGAGGGCGTACTGGCTGGAAGCTGGCTCTGTCAACTTGGGGCTCATCACTGCTGACATCGCTTTAGCTGCAGATCATCCTTCAAAGCACGAAGTGCAGAGACATTTCTTAGAAACGCATGATAACCGAACTAAGAGGTAAGAGATATGATTGAAGGAGATGCATTTACATTTTTTTGGGGGGGTGTGAGTTAATACATTCATCTAAAGATGGAATGTTGTTTTTTGCTTTTGGGGTGGGTTTTTTTTGCTTACGGAGATTACAATTTCTTATAACTTTTTTTAAAGTATGTTGAATGCTTAGCCATGGGGTTGGTGGTTTGAATGTGCTTAGGCTACACAAAATTGTGTGATTTTTTGCAAAACTTATTTTTCCTTCTGCTTTCCCTTATCCCTGAAAATGAAGATCAAGGAGAGGACAGAATCGAATTTGTCCTTTGTTCTCAGACTGAACAGAAAACAGGCCTTAAGAGTCCTAAGCAACCTGATGAGCAGCTGTGAACAAGATGCCTGGTGTAACTCTGACTTGTGTATCTCTCCAAAGAGCAATTGCCTCTGGCATAAGCCACATTCACCAGTGTGGAATGTGTTTGCAGTGCTTTTACCTGTGTGCTGAGAGGAAAGGGTTGCTACTATTAATGTGTATTGTGGCAGGTGGACATAATCCGTGCCTGAGGACTGCATATACATTTGTGATTTGCTCCTTTCTGGAGCTCCTTTCAGCATTTTATGTCTGACATCTGTGTTTCAGATGCAAATCTTAATCATTTCATGCTGGCTGAAACAGGAGCTCACATATAAGAGAGGGGATATGTTTTAATCTTGTTTTCACTGATTTTAAATGTACTAAGGCTGATGTAGTCATGTTTTTGTTTTGTTTTCTCTTTTTCTGCCTTTGTATAGATTGTGGTTTTTGTGGCCTGATGACACTTTGAGGAATAAGAGAAGCAAGAACAAGTGTGGCTGTCTTGGTGGTTGTCGATTCTTTGGTGGCACGTTAACGGGACTAGATTTTTTCAAACTTGAGGAGCTGACACCTTCAAGCAGCTCTGCTTTCTCAAGTACGAGTGCAGAATCTGATATGTTTTATGGGCAGTCTTTACTGCAGCCAGGAGAATGGATAATTACTAAGGAGATTCCTAAAATTTTAGATGGTGAGAATGCATTGTACTGTAATTTTACTCTGTTTTGCTTAAAAGTATAATTTTTTAACTGCACATTAGTATTTATAGTCTTTCTGATTCTGGCTAATGACTAGTACTTGTGCTGTTGTGCAAGAGGTCTTGTAGTGGCACGGGCCCTTCTGAGAGCAGACAGTGGCTTGATAGTAGTGAGCAAGCTTTCATATGCTGAATTCGTCTATTAACATGCAACTCCTTTCTGAGTAAAAACAAGTTTTTTGACTTGCATCTGTTCTACTTATATAGAAAGCAGTCTACCAAGACAACTTGATTTTTTGGCTGCTGTGACTTTATTCGGTTTTGTTAGTACAATATGCTACTAGGTGTATGCATCTCAAAACTAGGGCTTTTATTTGATAATGATTTTTATTTCGGCGGACAGGGAAGAAACCACTGCAGCTGTGTTATCAAATGTTCAATTTTTCTTTTCTGTTGCTGATCCTAGGTAAAGCAAATGGTGTAAAACGAAAAGATTGGGATTGCAGATCTATGGGAATAGAAATAGAAAGAAAAGCACAACATCTAAGTCTACAAGTGCCGTTGCGCTCCCATAGCTCCTCATCGTCTTCGGAGGAAACAAGCAGTTCTAGTGCTGCACTCCCCTTGCTTGCAGGTGAGAAGGACAGCCCATCGTCAACTATGGAGGATCACGTGGGACAGAAGGAGTTCTTGTCTGGTGCAAAAAGGGAAGATGGTCATGGAAGGTTAGTATTCTCTGTCCAAGTAGAAGTATAAGTCAAATCTTGAACACGTTATGACAGAAAAACCCCTTGTATTTAGCAATTTATAAAGTGTTGGTTATTTTCTAATGGGACTGCTGAAATACACTTCCTAGTTTGAAGGCAAATTTGGATCCCTAATAGGGGATGATTACCTGATCTAGATAGAAAATCCAGCATGTGAGACAACAGCACTTGCCGTATACTATTCGTTTTTAAATCCTCTATATGTAGACAAGTCCATTAACAAGTGGCAGAATTTAATATATGATCAGCAGTATGAAAATAATTGTTATGCTAATAGTAAGTCATGGAATCACCGAAGCATTTGACAGCTCCTATAAAGTAAAAAGAGAAGCATTGATAATAAAATAAACAAATGAACCTTTAATTTTTGTTTCCAGTGTTGCAGTTGAGGGGGCAGAGGGCAGCCCTGCCTCCCCTGGCAACCAGGAAAGGCCTGTTGGTCAGTCTCCCCTGAGGTCTCCACTGAAACGGCAAGCATCTGTGTGCTCCACCCGGCTTGGGAGCACCAAGAGCCTCACGGCAGCCTTCTATGGAGACAAGCAGCCTGTTCCAGTTGGTGTGCAGTTCAGCAGCGATGTGTCTCGCAGTGATGAGAATGTCCTGGACTCCCCAAAGCAGAGGAGGAGCTTTGGTTCTTTTCCATATACTCCATCTGCAGATTCGAACTCATTTCACCAGTATCGTTCGATGGATTCCAGTATGTCAATGGCTGATAGTGAAGCTTATTTTTCTGCAGCAGAAGAGTTTGAGCCAATAAGTAGTGATGAGGGTCCAGGAACATATCCAGGGAGGAAGAAGAGAAAAAAGCAAGCTCAGAAAATTGAATATAGTAGAGGGTCTATTTATCACAGTGTGGAAGGGCCCTTAACAAGCACAATCCATGGCGAAATTAGTCAAGATGTTAAAACGTTGCCACTTAAGACTCATCCTTCACAGGCTTCATTTGTTTCGGCTCTGGGAGGAGAAGATGAGCATGTTGAAAATATGTATGTCATGGAATCTGAGAAGACTGTGGAAAGTGAGCAAATAACTTCCCAGCAGCCTGTAATGGCATGTTACCAAAATTATCTTACACAGTTCCAGGTAATCAACTGGTCAGTAAAGCATCCAACTAACAAAAGAACTTCAAAATCCTCATTGCATCGCCCTTTAGACCTTGACACACCGACGAGTGAAGAAAGTTCATCATCTTTTGAGCAACTTTCTGTCCCAACTTTTAAGGTATGGAAGATGGAGGAAGGAGCATTAGAGAAAGGAATTCAAAACAAGTTAAAATTCTTTAGTACACCTGTTGTGTAAATGAAGCTATGAGAAACTTGAAACTCTTTGCTTTTAGTTAAGGAATTCTGATTGTGGGCCGTGTGGCTGGGAGGTTGTGGAAAAGATGTGGAATTCTGTGGATAAGACGTGTTCTGAATTGTCATTGTTGCACTTAAAAAAGCTGCCTGTTGAATGATATGCAGCTGAAACATATTTATGTGAGTTTTGTTTAAAATGTGTTTCACAGAACTTCAGTAGCAATACATTTAGTGCTGAAAGTATAATCTGGGCTGTAAATGCTTTACTTCAAAGTAAAGTTGAAACGTACGGATTTAGCAAATGATTTTTGTAGATGTTTGGGGTGGGGTGGTTTTTTTCCCCTTGTCATGTATGTGATATGAACGTACATGCTTAAGGAGCTGAATGAAATATATGAAAAATAATGGAAATGACTTGATAGAAAATAGATGTCTAAGCTCTGGAATTTAATTTGTTATCACTTTGCTGCAAATCTTCATGTGTTCATCCAAGCCTTTCAGAGATTTGTTTTTGGAATTTTTTTAAAGCAATTAGTCACTATTTATCTGTGTAAAAACTTCGTAATCTAATCTCTCAAGTAATTTTTAAAAAAAATAAACCTAGGAGTTTCTGTATGCTATATTGGAGAATCTGCATATGAGGGATTCTGTTAAAAACTATAAGGAGAATCTTTATTTGGAGATTCCTTGGATATTTTTTTCCATATATAGAAGGAATGTAATAAATTTCTTTGCACTTTGATCTCAGATTGTTAAACAGGGTCTCACAGCTAATTCATTACTGGACAGAGGCATGCAGCTTACAGGATCAACATCTAAGTAAGTTGAATACTGCATAATGTTATTAGCATATTTTTTTAAGAGTAGGATTTTTCTGATACTCACGTTAAATATTTTTGCTTTTGCTAGCCCTTCCAAAATCGGATTCGTAGCGGTAGTTTTCAGTACAGATCTATTTTAGAACAAGTTATTCTATTATAGTATGTTTAGTGTTGGTCAAAAAGAAGGTACACCATGAAAACATAGAATTATTTCACTCATACGTTTTCAAGATTATGAATTGCAGCTTAATTTAATTTGGGAGGTGCTTATGGCAAGTGTCTATTGCATTGTCAGAAGCTGAACTTGAATCTGGGGAAGGACCTTGCCTGGGGATTCTATTTGTGTACTTTCTAAGTGATGTGGTTGAAGAAACCTGCCATTTTATGTGTTTTATGAAGAATTAAAATAATACCAGGGTGCTTTCGTATTTCCTTGCAAACCTAGATTATTAATATGTATTTGATTTGTTTAGTACACCTTATACTCCTTTGGAAAAGAAGTCTGCAGAAAATACAGATGATGAAACAATAACGGAAGAATGGACGTTGGATCATCCCGTCTTCCAGACACGGACAACGGCAATAGTAGAAGTAAAAGGAACTGTAGATGTAGTTCTGACTCCTCTTGTAGCAGAGGCACTGGATAGGTAATTAATTTTACTTCTGCTATTGCAGTGTGAACTGGTTATGCTAAAATTGTCTAAAATCAAAGTTATTTTGTGCAGCAAAGGTTTAGATAAAAGGATTGAATAACATGACTGATGGAACAGTAGGGCCTTGTACCCAGTGAATGTAATTCGGCATTTCCTGTGAAGAAGCTGGAAGAATGTTATGCTGACCTGGGAAGTGCCCTTTATGTCTGTCAGTGCTTTGTTCTTCTGTCTGTAGTGTTAATTAAACATTATCGATGGTGTGTCACGTGAAACTGGAAGTTTGAATGGTCTGTTGTGGGCTTCTTTCCTCTCACAGGTACATAGAAGCAATGGTGCATTGCGCTAGCTCTCGACACCCAGCAGCAATCGTTGATGATCTGCACTGCAAAGTTCTTCGAGATGCTGTACAGAACAGCAAAACCAGCTTCTCAGAAAACGTAAGAAAGGGAATGAAAGATGCACAAAGATTTGAAAGAATATTGTTTTCTATACTTGACATAGAAAAAGTTTTAATTGAATTCAGTGTTTTGAGACATAGTAGCTAAATGCTATATTAATTTGGAGTACATCTTTATTTTTACCTTGTGTTTAACGTATGTATGGTTTATAATCAACTGTTATATACTGTCTTTCAGTGACCAGAAATCTCTTATAGGATTGAAGTTCTTCTGCTTTGGACAGTCTAATCAGTAGCTACCATAATTTGCATGAGATCTTGTGTTCTGTCCTTAGAAATTACTATAACTGATATTCTTTTGTGTTATATTCATATCAGCAATACATCATTTATTCTTCTACAACAGTTAGAGTCTCTGTGAGGTAGAGGAAAGTTCAAACTAAGCTGTGAAAGTGCTTGTTTTCTTTGCAGTTAATCTGATACCTTAAAAAATTAATTTAGCTTGAAAAGAATTGTATGGTAGTTCTACAGAATTAGGAGTTCTTTCTGTCCAAGTTAATGACCATATCTATGTTTAGTGTCCATTACACTGTGAAGTCTAAGAAATCACAAATTATTTACTTCATGATAAGTTGATCTATATAACTTATATATGTAGAACTCAAACTTTTAGCTGAAACCTGGTCATTAGAAAGTTTATTGCAGAATGGCATTGCTACCCTTATAGATCTAAACCTACCGTATCTGTAAGTGCTACAGTCCATGTTCTAGAAATTGTGGTATTATGCTTTAAATGAAATCAGAATCTCTAGCTGCTTTAGCACTAAATACTATCCTGTTACTCTTTAGCTTAGCAGCTCTAAGTTTCAGTGAGAATAAATTATTTTTCCCCCTCCCTCCAAGTTATCTTCAAAGCAGGATATTAGAGGAACAAAAATAGACACTGCCACTACAGGAACAACAAACCAGGGACCAGCACAGACTAATCTGTCACTTAAGCAAGATAATGTGACAATTAAAGGTCTTCAGGCCAACGTTACTGTACCAAAGGTAACAACTTTTTGTTTAGCTTATTAGTAGATATGTGCCTCACAAATTCTCCTTATTTTGCATCCCTGTTAGTTCCCCAAAGGCTTAAGTGAAGCTGTGTATTTGTGCCAGGTAACTAATGTTTGAACAAGATAGACTGTTTTGGAGCAGCTCAACTTCATTATAGTAAATGTGCAAGTTAAATAACCACCACTATAGAGATAACCCGACTGCCATGCCTTTAAATTATATTTTTACATCTTCTAGATCTATTTCTCTTTTATTTTTTTTTATTTTACTGAGAAGTGTAAGACAAGATTGTGTCAGAAATTAGTGATGTATACTTAACGTTTTTCTAAATGTCTCTGCTCTCTGGGGGAATTTTACATATAGGTGAACCTGTGTTTACTACAAGCATCTGTTGATGAATCCCCAGGGGTTTCGTCTGGCAAAACTGTGACTCACGTTTCATTAGTAGCTTTGTGTTTTGATAGAATTGCCACGCAAGTTCGTATGAATAGGTAAGAATAATACGTATCGCTATTTGTGGCTCGCTCTTGTTAAGCTAGTCAAAAG